CAGGGCCTCGCACACGCTAGGCGAGCACTCTACTGTTCAGCCCCAGCCCCAGCCCCAGCCCCTTGACCATAGTCTTTATCATGCATGAACATGAGATGTCTTTATTTACTTAGATTTTTTTTAAATTTCAGTAATAATTTTACTTATTTTGTTAAAAGTTTTTCCTAAGTATTCTTTTGATGCTATTGTAAATGGTATCACTTTCTTAATTTTCTTTTTGGATATTTTCTGCAAGTGTCTAGAAATGCAAAGTTTCCAGACTTTTTTATATTTATCTTGCATTTTGCAACCTTGCTGAACTTGTATATTCTAATAGTTTTTTTTATACAAAATGATGCATCATAATAAATGTAACAACAGATGCTTTCTCCTTAAGGTCAGGAACAAAATAGACATGTCCACTCTTCCACTTCTATTCAGCATTGTAGTGCAGGTTTTAGACAGCACAACTATGCAAACAGATAAGATAAAAGGCATCCACATTAGAAGGGAGAAAATAAAATATTTTTATGTTGTCTTTGTTTTCATTTGTCTCAAATATTTTGTAATTTCCGTGTGTGTGTGTGTGTGTGTTTGCTCATTGGTTATTGTTGAAACAATACTGAGCATGGTAGTGCATGCCTGTATTCTATTTACTCAGGAGCCTGAGGTGGGAAGATCACTTGAGCCCAGAAGTTCAAGACCAGCCTGGGAAACAATAAAAAACCACTGGGCAATGGGAGGAGGTATTGTTTAATCTCACGTATTTGTGAATTTCACAAATTTCTTTCTGTTACTCATTAATTTTTATCCCTTGTGACCAAAGAGCATACTTTGTACAGTTTCAGTCCTTTTTGATGTGTTGTGTCTTCATTTGTAGCCCAAAGTATTGTCTGTCTTGGAGTTTTATATGCACTTGAGGAATTAATTGAAAATTTATCTCTAAGATAAATTCAAATGAGGAATTTGTTCCTGGATATTTGTACTAAAACATACCAAAACCAAAAGTCAAAATATTTTACTAGGTAATGTTCTGATACATACAGGAGAAGAGAATTAAAAGCTTTCCAGATTATTTGTGCCACATAAAGGAACCAAATTTGAGTCTAGCATGAATTTATATCATGGACTTACACCTAGCTTTATGTTTGTTCCAGTTGGATTTGGTGTTGGTTTGTTGTACACCAAGAGGTGACAAGAAATAGAAGTTGGGATTATTATGGTTAACTTGAGCATGTTGGAAACCTAGGAAAGACTGAATATTGTTAAATGCAGCTCATAAGTTGGACAGAATGGCAAAACCAGAGTGAAATACGCATTATTGCACCAGAGGGAGCCAAGTTTGGGCAAAGTGATCACCAGTGATTTCAAAATAAACAGTAGCTTGTTAATGGGCTATCACTGTCTGCAATATCAAAACCCCACACTTTTGGGGCTTGGATTGTGGCTCAGTGGTAGAGCGCTCGCCTAGCATGCTCGGGGCCCTAGGTTCGATCCTCAGCGCCGCATAAAAATAAATGAATGAAATAAAG